TTCTCAACTGATTCAATTATATTGCCTCCTGCTGCCAAAAACCTTAATAACCTCTGTAACTCTGTAGTCCGGGTTGGTACACACACACACAGTTCTGCACATCTCCTGCCAGTGGGAGAGTATGCTCTGCTTTACAGCATACGTCACATATTTTACTTGTAGCTTAGCTAACAGCTGACTTGAAAGAAACAATCTAATATCCAAGTCTCAAAACTAACGCTACAGCAGAACCAGGATGAAATCAAAGAGACAGAGTAATGACATGAGCCCGAACAATAACCGATATCAGATGGGCTTACACTTGGTTTACTTCATGTCTGAACAGTTGTTTTAATGAAGATTATGAATAAATTAAGATTATAACAATGCAAAATGCAGAGGCTATTAGCATAATATGTGTAACAAACATTACTTTACCTTGTTGATAGACATTTTTCCAAAACAAGCTGGGAACGCTTAAGGCTGATTTATACTTCTGCGTCAAACGCCGGCATATGCTACGGCGCTGACGCATAGCCCTTCGCCGTGACGTGCACCTCTCAAAAAATGTAACTACACGTCGCAACGACGCGTAGCGTAAGCTCTGTGATTGGTCGGCTTGGTAGCGCTGACGAGTCTGGGCGGGACCGAGAGCCGAGCGAATGGCGCGAGCGATTGTTTACAAGTCTGGAGTCCCGTGAAGGAGCTCCGGATGGAAAGTTTTGTTTTGTGTTTACCTCATAGTTAAAGTTGTTGCACATCCGCCGGTTCCTGCCTCAAAATGAGCGAGTTTAAGCCACTTGTACATCCCGAATGTGTTCAGGAAAAGCAAAAAAGCAGCGAAGAAACTAGACACAGAGGAACATTTACACCTCACTGCCAACTAGCGTTTCGGAAGTGTTAATGCAGACCAACAGAGACAGCACGCAGAAGTATAAATGCACAGCTACGCGCGTTGCATGCGCCGTGGGTTACGCCGGTCACCTGACGCAGAAGTATAAATCAGGCTTTATACAGCAACTGTTTTCACAGTACCGGTAGTGGACAATTACACTTTTCAACCACACGGGAGAGTGTGAGCAAAATGTTGCATAGTGTTGTTGCTTTAAATTTGTCTTTAAACAGATGTTAAGATCATCCTTTTCCCCTTATTGTGACATACCTTCAATTGAAACTCTTTCCGAAATGAGAAAAAAATGTGGGCGGTGCACAATTGAATCCCTTGAGAACCGATTGGATCATTGGAAGATGTGTATTACTGAGAAAATGAAGGAAGATTAGAATGCCAGTTTGTAGTCAGTTGTGGAGGATTTTACTGTCTCTGATGAAAAAATATTTTGATGCCTGTTGATAACGAGAACGAGGAGCTAAGCTTTGCAGTGATAGCCCCAAACTATGGACATTCGTATGACCAGATGTATAGAATAAATTCTGGTATTTGATAAAGGATTTTGAGGGCAAATTTTTTATTATATATATATATATATATATATATATATATATATATATATATATATATATATATATATATATATATATATATATATATTACAAAATAATGAAGTGTTTGAATGTGTAAATTTGAACAAGCACTAATATACATACATTTGACATTTTGATTTGAAGTGACTTTAAGGTACATATTAGTCAGGGTGTGAATTATACATTGGCGATCAGGGTGTCAATTATTTTGTTAAGTTTTCCGTGAATTAAATTTATCTATTTATTTAAATAACATCAAATTTGTTACTAAGATGTATTTAAGTTTTCAGTGTTTTGATTGATATTAAATGTATTCTGATTATTTCAGAGGATACCAGCTCAAACTATTCAAATTATGCATCCAACTTTACTTTAAGGCTATATGTAAATATAAATACCTATTTTGAAAAAAAAACTGTCTTGTGAGCACTTATGATATCCATTGCTGCTCTAGATCTGCTTGTTTAGACACTGTTGAATAGTTCTTGCAAAGACTGATTTGTGCGATTATGCATGAACCCCTAAAATGGTATAAACCTTTATCAGGGAGGTCAAATTTATATTTGTTTTATTTATTACTTTAATTAATAATATTATTATTTAAGATACAGATCAGGGAAAACTATTTCTCACTATTAAAGAGCTGACGCCCCTATAAATCTTGTTTTGATGTCCTTCAGGAAGGATCAAGCAATAATTAGGGAAGTCAATCCCCTTAAACCCCACCCTGATATTAATACCAAAAACAATGTTTTAGTACTTTTTTGAAAAGGTATTTTGAAGCAGTGACAGCTTTTTAACTTATATTTTTATATATAAGTTTAATATTATATATAACCCAGCAATTACACTAATATCCATCATATCAACTCCCTAGCAACTAGTTAACATTGCAACAACTAAGCCTTAGCAACTGTCTAGCATGAATTGACCCAGAGTACTCCAGCAAACACAGACAACTCAACAGCCTAGCCACATAGCTAAACTACTTCAAATCCAACTATTTAAACTACAAAATATTTAAAGTAAGGGGGTTTCAACAAAGAAACGTTAAAACACGTTCTATCTTTTACAACTAATAAACAACTATTTATTTACATTTTAATCTCTAAATATTAGACAGAAATGAGCATGTGAGTTTTGCTTTTTTAAAGACACCAGAGTACAATGGCTCCATATTTAACGAAGCACGTGCAGATTACCTGAACCATAACCGATGAAAACTTCTATAAACGACATGGGAATTTACACGATTAAACACCGTTGTGCAGAATCAAGAGTTCTCACACGAGTCACTTTCTTTGGTTTGTCATCTCAGCCAGCACAAATTGGGACACAGCGGTCTCTAGTGGTCACACTGGAAAATTTTCCTTTGAGTAGAATAGTTTTTATTACTAAGTTCAATAAATGCTTAAAAATAAAATATATTTATATAAGCAAATGAACAATTCAAGTAAAAAATAATACAAATTTTACTTTATTAGATATTAAATTATAAATAGAAAACTTAAATTATGCTTAATAATATAATATAAACTTAATAATATAAATAAATACATTATTTATTAATGGCCATCAATCAGATTAAGTTTCCCTTTAATACACTAAAAAATATCAATAATATATATATATATATATATATATATATATATAATAACTACAAATAACTTAATGTGCAATAACTTTTTTCCCTCAGTTTAGTCTCGTTTATTAATTAGGGGTCACCACAGCAGACTGAACTGCCAACTTATCCAGCAGATGTTTTACACAGCGATGCCCTTCCAGCTGCAATCCAGAACTGGTAAACATCCATACATATTCACATGCACACATATACACAACGGCTCATTTAGTTTATCCAATTCATCTGGACTGCATGTCTTTGGTCTGAGGGAAAAACCGGAGCACCCGGAGGAAACCCATGTGAACAAGGAGATTACATACAAATTCAGACAGTAATGCCAACTCACCAAGCCGGGACTCGGGTCAGAGACCTTCTTGCTATGAGGGGACACTGACAACCACTGAACCACCATGCTGCCCTATAGGGAGAAAAAAACTATCAGAAATAAACATTTAAAGTCAAATATAAGTTCAAGATCTTTGCCTAATAAATAATTGTCTCTGAAAACAAATACCTTTCAATAGTTTGGAAGCAATAATGTTTCTGAATGCTTTATGCAATATCTTATCATCAGCAATACATTTTATTTGATAAACAACGTATTAAAAGCTACAATTTATTTGTTTTAACATATTTTAGATTTGCTTTTTGTTTATTGATTGCTTATTTTTCATGCAAAGATGGTAAGTGAGAAGGATGACAATTTAACCCACAGATTCACATATTGCTGTTTATCACAGCTTAAACAAACAAACAAGCAAACAAACAAACAAAAAAGCCAGATTTAAAAAAAACATTTTAAATATGTTTTCAATTATAATAAACATTTTCATTTTTAAATTTAATTTATTATTCAATTCACTGTGGCGACCCCGGATTAATAAAGGGACTAAGCCGAAAAAAAAAATTAATGAATTTTCAATTATAAGAAAAATAAAATGTTTCTTGAGCAGCAAATCAGCTTATTTCAGAAAAATATCTGCAGGATCATCTGACAGCTTTGGCAAATTGCCATCTTTGAAGATTTTGCTTTGCCATCACAAAAAATAAACTACAAATAAAGTTTACAAATAAATACATATTTAAACTTATTAACACAGAAAGAAGTTACTTTAAACTATATCAATATTTCTGTTTGACTGTAGTTTTGATCAAATAAATGCTGCCCTTTGATGAAATAAATATTAAACATATTAAAACTGCTATGTTCAAATTTTGATTTCATATATATATATATATATATATATATATATATATATATATATATATATATATATATATATATACATACATACACACACACACACACACACACACACACACATATATATATATATATATATATATATATATATATATATATATATATATATATATATATATATATATATATACAAATACACATATATATATATATATACAAATACACACACACACATATATATATATATATATATAAAGTTGTGCTCATATTTAAAGCATTAGGGGTCGCCACAGTGGAATGAACCACCAACTTATCCAGCATATGCTTTACACAGCAGATGCCATTTCAGCTGCAACCCAGTACTGGAAACATACACACTCACTCACACTCATACCCTATGGCCAATTCAGTTAATTCAATTAATTTATACCGTGTCTTTGGACTGTGGGGGAAACCGGAGCACCCGGAGGAAACCCACGCAAACACGACGAGGACATTCACACTCCACACAGAAATGCCAACTGACCTTCTTTCTATGAGGCGACATTGCTAACCACTGAGCCACAGTGTCGCCCCTAAGGGAAAATATATTTGATTTAATCAAATTGAAAACAAGTGCATTAAAAGAGAGTACATCTTAAAAGGACGTGTTTAGCATTGCGTGTTAATACTCCTTGTTCTACACAGGTGCATTAAGATCTCGCACATGCGCCTTGGCATCAGTGCAGTCTGCAGCAGTGTACGTCCTGCGCGTGCCCACCAGACTCAAGCAGCGAGGCGTCACAACAAAGCTGGTAAGCAATGCACAGGTACAGCATATTTAATACAGAGAGCATAAGGCAGACATAATCACAATGATGGCATTAAATGTTTTTCCTAAGCGTTGCGACGTAAATCTCCGTTGTGTTGTCAGAGAGCACTTGGGCTAACTGCGCGTGCAGTTTTAATAATTGTGGCAAGTATTAACGCTATTAAAAACAAACATGGATATAAGGGGCTTAACCTAAATGCACGTCGAAGCAACGTGAAGCGTGTGTTTGTGACCTTAACCTACCCCGTCAGAAACTGCTTAGCGACAGTGCCAAACGGGGTTTGTTTTATTTAAAGGGCTGTCAGACATCGCAACATGTGCGCTCTGACTGCTCAACAGACATGTTTACGCGATAATACCCCATTTAAATACTTTAACGTATTCGCTAAGCAATGCATTATGTGGTGTAGTAAATATTTGCGCAGCAGTATAATTTTAAATAGGCCTGTATGATATTATAAACCGCTGCTTGCGTGTTTAATCGATTTCCCGCATGTGTACATGAATGCGGCAGTTATGGGTGCATTACGTTATTTATTGAGCATTGAAGACAATTGATTCGCGCGTTGTCATTGTTTTGACAGTGTGTTGTTTGTTTACTTAATTGGGACGCCCTGTGAATGTGACCCCAAAGGGCGTCTGTGAAATGAGATTATTAATATTAGCTTGGCTAAGGTTGTCTGACCCCACCCACACCTCCACAGGTAGACTACAAATTGTAACTTCTTTTACGGTCTGTAGATCTTCAGCCACGTGTGATTTCTTTTTGTAATACAGCAACGTTTATGGATATTGCATATAATATATGAAATTACACCAGATATCTGTCATTTTACATAAATTATTCAGATATCAAATTGAATTGATAATGTGGTCTCACTAAACGTGTTGGAAAAACACTGCTGTGTGGTGTGTTTTCCCTACAATTGGCTCAACTCATCTTATTGTCCTACCTGTGTTTAAATTAAGAGTCATTGACGGTATTATGATTTCTTAAGTAATTTATGTTTAGCTGTTATTCGCTCATTATCAATGATGAGATTGCTTTTATGACTGTGTGTTTCCCTGGTTTAGTAAAAGTCGCTTTTTTATCTGACACCCAAATATTCAATTATCCATTACACATACAACAGACGTACATTCTGACATAAATTGATACAGTGCTTAGCATATATAAGTACACCCCTCACAAATCTCTTTTAAATTCATATTTTTAATAAGAAGATATACAATGTTATATTTGTGCATATACATTAGATTAGTCGGTACTAAAGCCAAATCCTTTGCTTATTTAACAAAATAACTTACGATAACGGTCCAAAAATGAGTACACCCAAAATTATGTGTTGTAGAAAAATAGTAATAAAGAGGAAAAATCAAGAGAAAAAAAATATGGAAAAACTTGGTTGAATTTTTGTAGGTTGTAATTTATCTTTTGCAATATTTTGCTTGATTTAAATTGTATCATCTTTCAATTTCCTAATATGTTTGGTGACTAAAATATTATTTTTATTTTAATATATCTGTTTGATAAACATTGCATTTATTAACAAAGAAATGGATACAAATATTCATTTTCAAAATGGGGATGTACTTAATTTTGCTGAGCACTGTACATATTGTCATTTTAGTTCAGATTTGCCTTATTTTTATCTTTGAACGCTTTGTTCTTGGGGTTAGTTCACCCAAAAATTAAAATTCTGCCATCATTTACTCAACCTCTACCTGTTCCACATAACATATATTTCGACTTGTACAAAACATATCAATAAATTAAGTTTTCCTTTTAACCAACAGGGGGCCTCGCCTGCAAATCCAAGATAGAGGACAATTAAGACATGTGGAGATCATATAACAGTAAGTTCGTTTATATCAGGGGTGTGCAAACTTGATCCTGGAGGGCCGGTGTTCTGTATAGTGTACCTCCAACTTCCTTCAACACACCTCCCTGGATGTTTCTTGTATAAGAAAGAGCTTGATTAGCTGGTTCAGGTGTGTTTAATTGTGGTTGGAACAGAAAAAGATAGATAGATAGATAGATAGATAGATAGATAGATAGATAGATAGATAGATAGATAGATAGATAGATAGATAGATAGATAGATAGATAGATAGATAGATAGATAGATAGATAGATAGATAGATATTTTCCATGTTTTGGACAATAATAACACTGTAAAATTCTTCAGTGTTATCACTGGCATGTTCATATTTTTCAGGTGTGGAAGAAAAGAAACATACTATGACATCAGAGGTTTTCCTTCAAGATGCTCATCACTCTGATGAAGCTGCACTTCATAGCATCTCAAAGCAAGAAAATTGTGAGACAGAAAGAGATATAGAGGGAGGAACTGATGAGAAGATGGATTGCAAAGACAAACAGAACACCCAATTGTTCCAGAGCACAAGCCAGCCTGTGTCCCCAAATCTAGCTAATGAAAATCAAGCTTGTCAGCCAAGTCTGACTGAGCATGCAAGCATGATTACACAGGAATATAGGACTGATTTGCCTTTAAATGTCATTAAGGCTGACCTTGACCCTGTTAGTAAACCCCAGGGGGAAATAGCCTGTCCTCGCTGTGAGAGAAGGTTTACGAGTAGTCAAGACCTTGACTGCCACATACAAACACATGCTCTTTCAACATACCACACACAGCGGTTTAAATGCAGTCGATGCCGAAGGACCTTCAGTACACTGTTTAGTCGTCGACGACATGAGAAAAGACATGAAAATGGAAATAAAAAGATAGATTCTCACATAAATACAGCTTGCACTGCTAATCATAATATCCCTGGCAGAGGTGAGCCTTTGAAAACATCACTAAACCCAGAGCCAAAGAAATGCATTAATGCAGCTGATGCTGAACAAAAGAATGATAAAAACAGTGATATAAAAGCCTCACACATCTGCAAGTACTGCAAAAAGGCATTTAGGACTTATATTAGTCAAAGAAGACATCAGCACAGGATCCATGAGCGCCAGCTTCTTCCTAGAGGAGAATTTAAGAAAGTTACAGTAACTCAAGAATCTGAAGTACAGCAGCTTGTTGAGACAGCACAGGATTCCCAGACTGCTACCCCTGAACATACAGACATTCAGGAAAGGGAGTACATGGTTGACATCTCCAGTAATATCTCTGAAAACCTCAGCTTCTACATAGATGGTAAAATTGTCTCAACAAGCGCTGTAAGTAACTGCGAGGTGATAGAGATGAACTCTGGGGGCTCTGCTGTCATTGGATTGAATGCTGTTATAATCAGTCCAGCTCAAATAACACAAGCTCTTAAATTAGAAACTAGTACCAGCAGTTTTACCAGTGACCCTTCTGGACAGCCCTCAACCAGGCGTAGGACGTCAACTCCACCTTTACTCCCACAAATAAAAACAGAATTAGAGTCTGAATCCATCCTGAGCACCTCATCGTCTTCCTTTTCAACTTTAACTCTGGCTTCTACATCTGGAGCTCCACTAGTCACTGCTCATTTACCTCAGTCCATTGAGACAGTTGCCTTTTCCAAAGAAAAAACTGTTTATCTGTCACCCAAACTCAAGCAGCTACTTCAAAACCAAGATGGAAGTAAATCAACATTTGCACTGATTGCTGATGGCCACAAAATAAGTCCACCCTTATCTCTGACTGTTTTACCAGCAACAACAACAGCTGCTAAATTTAAGAGGAGGACAACTTCCCCTCCAAGCTCACCTCAGCAAACCCATGATCTGAGTGTAGAAGATCAGGATCAGGATTCTACAAAAGCAAAGATCCCAAAAATGGAGAGCTATGGGTTAAACCTCTTGAGCGATGAAGAAACAGAGCCTTTGAATTCACCCATGGACAGCTCAAATGAAGCTCAAATGCAGCAACAGATCTTGCCAATGGACTGCTCATTATTAAGAACTGGTGGAAGCTCCTGTAATCAACAACCACTAGACCTCTCTAACTATGTGGGTAAGAAAGAAGGAAATGAAGAATTTGTGGAGTCCATTCTGGACTTGAGTATAAGTGGAAAGAATTTAGACTATGACTCAGCAGGCATCTACCTTTCTCAGTCTACTTTGAGGAAGAGTAAACCTAACTCTAGCATGCTTAAAAAGGTGCTTATGAATGAGTATGGTGGGGTAGATATCCCTTCTGTTGAGGATCCAGCTGGTGCTGGAGTCTTCAGTGTTAATGACATAACAAACCTTTCTGTTGTGGCAGTGTCTGATGCAGATCTACTAAACCCTGAAAAGCTTTTGTTTGAGTTGGCTCTTCCTCCTGCCTCCATCAATTCGACCCCTCCATTGCTCACTCCTATCAATATTCATCCAGGGCCCCAAGTCCCTCCGACTCAGTCTTCACCTTCTTCATCCCCAACCTTTGTATCCTTCCTTTCAAATCCAACAGTGGAACCCAGTAAGGACATTCAAACTCTTCATTCTACCATCTTGGTACCTGATAGTGTACCACCCACAGGGTCTGACGAAGGCTGCATTGATAATTCTGTACATCTCTCACAGGGTGATCTGAATATGACAATCCCTGACTGGGTATCCTCTGCAACTGGTGCTCTGGAAACTCTAATACCTGCAACCCATTCTCTGAGCTTACAAAGTCCTCAATGGGTCACTGATCCTTGTGAACTAGCTCAAAGAACATTAGTTGTAGACTCTGTTTTGGCTTCTGATTCCCAGATATTTTCTCCATCTTTGCCTGTAAACCAGTCCAAAGTCACATCTTTGGCCTTTCCCCCAAACACTGTTATCATTGAGTATACAGTTGCATTACAATCTACAGAAAATATTCTCCCAGTTCTCCAAGCTAATTCTGTTCAGAATCTTTCAGATAAAATTCCTGTTGATGCATTAAAAGAAGACCATTATGTCTCATCTGAGCCACAACCTCTTAGTCCAGAAACCAACCTATTGCCAGAAACTTCCACACAGCTGGCACCCGCAGAACAGACATCAAGCTTTTCAAATGATACACCAACTCTTTCTGCTTTAACCAGTGTTTTGAAAGGAGAAAGCAACAAGGAAGGACAGGAAGATTTTGAGCCCTCTGATTGTTCTAAGCAAGTAAACAAAGTCAAAGAGGAATTACCTTCCATGCAACCTTTTTGCAAGAACTTTACATGCAATGTTTGTGAAAAGCCTTTCCAGTCAATGAAGATTCTCAGTCAGCACATCAGCGAACACTCTAAGGAGTGGCCCTATAAATGTGAATTTTGTGTGCAGTTGTTTGAGAGCGACACAAGCTTGCTGGAGCACCGTTCCAGTTATCACGGCATTGGTAAAATTTATGTCTGTAAAACATGTTCTAAGGAATTTGCATTCCTTTGCAATTTGGAACAGCACCAGCGCGATCTCCATCCGGGTCAAGAATGCTTGCATTCTGATGTAATACATGGTAAGTTAAGACCTGAAAACCATAACAGTCCTAAAACTGAGACATCTGATCCAGGCATCCCAATTGCAGAACTTAAGCAAGAATCTGAAAACTCAACCTCAAAAGTGGAGGAGAATGAACTGGACAATACCTCTGAAGAGCTGTTCACAACGATTAAAAGCATGGCATCTGGAGGTGTTAAACCAAAAGGCATAGATGTACGCTTGGGCATTAACCAACACTACCCAAGCTTTAAACCTCCTCCATTTCCATATCACAATAGGACACTTACTGAGACAACATCTGCATCAGCCACCAACTTTACCACCCACAACATCCCTCAGACCTTCAGCACGGCCATTCGTTGCACTAAGTGTGGTAAGAGCTTTGACAACATGCCTGAACTGCACAAGCACATCTTAGCCTGTGCTAATGCAAGCGACAAAAAGCGATACACTCCTAAAAAGAACCCTATACCACTCCAGCAGTTTGCAAAATGCCAACATGGTGTTTTATCACCTGCAAAGTATGTTAACAGTAGGCATAATCTCTATCAAAAATTTGGACAGTTGAAAAAACTGAACTTTCACGAATCACCCGTTAAGATAAAAATGAGTATATTGAATAAGAAGAAGTCTCAGCTGGTGCAAAGGGGTAGGCCTGCTGGAGGGAGAAAGGCCTTTGCTCAGGGTGACCTGAATGTTTTTGCATGCCCTCATTGCAGCAGAGAGTTCACATACAACGCTAGCTTAAAGAAACATGTAGCGTTTAGCTGCCCCATGAGGCCGGCCAATAGAAACTCGAAGAAGAGAACATTGAGTATCGTTTCAACCCAGGAGAACAATGGGAACCTTCAGAGACAAATTGCAAATATGAGCTCAAAACCACATGGGTCAACCCATGGGCCAAAAACTATAACAAAAAGTCAGATCATTAGGCAAAATGAAGCAGTTGTTACCACTCAGCATTTTAGGCTCAAAAGGTCTACCATTCTGTCAACATCTGTGGTTCAACCCAGTAAAAAACGCAAGCCTATTTTAAGCAGTGGGTTTGCACCGCAGTTGGCTTCAAATACAAAAGAACTCTCCCCTGAAGCTCAGGTTAACTCTCAGGAGCCAGGTGTTGGTGTACATATCTTACGTAGAAAAATGGAGCTGAGAGTTGGTGATGTAAAGCCCAGAAGAGAGGACCATATGTCTCAGAGGCTGAGAGAGAGAGTTGGAGGACCTGTTACTCGCAGCGTCCAGCAAGCCACCACCACAACAACAGTCCTGAAACAGCCAGACAGTCACAACATCATTCGTCCCGTCATTCTAGAAGTCAAGAAATGAGAATTATGAAATGATTATGATGTAAACAACGTTTTCCTAAATGCTTCCTTAGTTAAACACTTATACCTGTAAATATGGTCCATCTAAATATTGGACCTTGTTTAAATTCATGCAAAATGATGGGTAACATGAGATTGACCTTTGTTTTTTCTGGTCATTTACATTGTACTGTATGTTTTATGACATGTCATTATTTAATGATAAGAGAACTCAATCAACATATCAACGTTTGCACATGCTTTTGCCATGACAGAGGGCGCTGTTTGGCTTTACACTTTTCATGTGCACCTTACTGTTGTTTTGACATGATTTGAGGAGATGGTTTAGGTGTTTTAGATTTAAGTCTAACAGAAATATAGATGATACAAATTGGAAAACATAAATATCAAGCCCAATGTCATGTTAAATCAGAGTATGCATGTTTTAAAATTGCTTGAAAAGATAGGGGATTGAGGGGGCGGGGTTTGTGCACTTTATGCTGTAGTTCTTATTTGCTGGTGTCAAAATATATGGCAATACATTTAATCATTGACTACTATTTATTAATGTACATATTCTGTGTTTAACCGAAGGTCTGTGAGTTTCACACTCAAAAAAGGTAACCGTTATAGTAACTTGCTTCTATTTTTGTAGATTGTAATTTTTGTGTTTTATTTATTGTATAGATAGTTTGGTCTATTCATGCATGTCAGAGTTTTCATGTATGATTGATAGTGTGATGGTTTATTTATTGGATTCTGCACTGTACCAGAAAAACAGGAGAATTAATAAAGGATACTGTTTACTTGAAAACACCAGGACATTAATAGGCAGAAAAAAAAATTAAGTCCTATTCACAAGGAAGATTAATAAATAGTGTTAAAAGTCTCTCTCTTTGCATTTTTTGTTAATCTGAAATCAGATTTGAGTCCCCATTTGGTGTATCGATTAAATGATTTATGACACAAGACAGGCTACTGTTATATTGTGCTTCACTTATTCTTTGCTGATGGTAAACATGCTATTAAACTAAACAGAAATTCCTAATAGGATCAGCGATTGCCAATCATTGTGATACAGATATGTGTTGTATTAGATCAAAAAGGTTGTTCCTTATTTAAGTCTACTGTAATAAGAACAAGTTAACGGGTGAACACGAAGGCAAATATGTACACTGTGAAATACACTATGATGGATTGTTTGGACTTAAAATGTTACCAAAGCTTGCAAGCATTAAGTCACTTAGGCTACTTTGTAATCTATCAAAATTGATCATATATCTGAACTTGTCTTTTGTACTATAAGTAGTCATGACATGTTACAAAGGATCCATTGTCATTTTGTTAGAAATTGTGATAGTGGTGTAAATTTCAGCACAAACCAACTTTAATCTTTATACTATTGTAAGCCTACTGACATTCATTTTGTAACGTTGTTCACATTTTTAACCCCCTGTTAATCTCCAGATAAAAATAACATTTCGTTGTAAATGTGATTTGGAAAGAGGTAAAATACTGTTGAACATCTCCAGAGTTTAGTTGCATTAATATACTTGTTCTTGAATGATTAAACTGCTCTGTTTTAAAGTTCATTTGATGGATTTGTGTTTGTTCAATTGACAAACTGCTTCATAAACACTTAAATGTACCAGTTTTTAAATGTATTAGCACTCACAAGCCTTATAAACATTATCTGAATTGGGATAGTGCATTTTGTATTTCTTAATTTGACAACAATTTATTTGGTCATCTAAAAATCTATCAATGAAATCAAAATGCTTTTAAAAAACATGACATTGCTTATTGATTAGTCCACTGTTGTACAATGTTTATTTACACATTAAACCACAGATTAAACCAGAGAAAGTGGAGATGCAAATAAACCACAATCAAATTTGTTTTCATAAAATGTAGAGCTGATTATTCAGAAAAATCCTAAATGTAGGAAATATGGACCATTTTGAGTTATGCGAACAATAACAATGGCCCTATTTATTTCCTGATTTACATTTTGAATTTCCATAGCCTCCAAGAATTAAAAAAAGTCCACATATTGCTAAATAATGTTATGGCAGCCGTTTTTAACATTAAGAATTTGTCAAATTGCCTCTTGTTACAGTTATGAAGTAGTTTGGCAACAAGCAGGAAATGTTCATGGGCCAATGACATCGTCACAATGAAACGGTCTATATGTATAATTATTATACACTTCACACGCACGACTTATTTCTATGTTAACAAGCTTAAAGCCAATACATAATAATGTGGTGTAAATGATGTTTTACTAAAAACATCCACTGAGTGGCAGCATTGACTTGCCGCATAATCGCAGCACCGCCACATTTACATCACCTCGCCCACATCACTGGCGTCTTGTACTTTTCATTGTTTAGAAATGATGTATTTGTAACCAATTCGATTAAGAAAAACTTACATTTGTCCATCAGATCAAATGACATAGGTAAGGTGAGAGGGTCACCTTTCTTAAGGCTGACCGATGTGCAATGTAGGTAAAGATATATGAGAAATAAATAACATGTATCACGCCATAACGGTTCCGCCCCAAAAGTATTTAATAAAATTTGATTGGCTAAGGAATTAGGCGCTGGGGGTTGATGGACGTGTTATGTCGAAATAAGGCGGGACAAACGGGTGAAATAAGGATTTTACTGCACCGTTCTATTACAGTGTGAACTTTCCTGATCATATTTCACAGCGTAGAGAGAAAATTTCATTTGAGTCAGCTTTGATTTTACTTAAACACCTCTCTTATTTACCAGCCAGATTAATGGCTTTTATATGCTGTAATGCCTATTCTCTCCCCCCGCCCCTCCCGTCTCTCTGGGAGTAAACAAAGCCGAAGTGGGTCATTTGTTGCGGTATGAAAATATTAAGGGTTCTGCATCCCTAAAACGCATTTTGTGAACAGCCTTGAGTTATGTGTCGGTCATTAAAACACAGCAGGATTTAAACAAAACCTAGACGTTGCTATGAGGCATAGTTATACATTGACCCAAAATGTCTATCCTGATAAACTATCCATATCCACTTACAAGAAATTGATCATTGTTTAGTTGTTATGGGGATGCCACAGCACCAAGAAAGCGCGAGTCGAGCAACACAAAAGAGCGAGGATGCGCCTCGGACGCGCTCATTCTCCGCCTCCACGGGCGTGGGGATTCTTCTCTCAACCGCTTTTACTTTGACCGTTTCAACACGTAGCATGAGCGAGACAGAGGCGTTGATATCCAAACTAAACCAAACCAAACCAAACCTCCCCGCGCCCGGTCTGAACCGGTTCGGGGGCAGTGCGCGCTCTTGCGGACTCCCTCCCTCTCCCGTCTCTGAAATATCTGCCACGCGCCCACACATGCACAGAAAAATCCTAGCATTGAGCGAACACGCGCGCGTTCACGCATACGTCAAGCCCTCCCCTCTGCCTCGTTCCCTTCGCATCTGCCATTGGCTCGCGGGGACTCTTCGAGCCTCCTCTTGTTCTCTTTTCTGATTGGATCGCGCCTAAGACTCTAGTCGATGCGAGTGCGAAATCTGCTCGCTCATTGGCTGGCGAGGGCAGTGCATGAGTGCGAGGGAAAGAGTTGTAAACGCAAAGCGCGTGCTGGAAAAGCCGAGGCGTAGCGTTGAGAGAGCAGCGCGAGCACCGGAGATCAGCAGGGGCATCACTCGTCACAACATCCAGCCTCTCATCCGCCCTCGCTCCATTTTGTCGGGGTTTTTTATCGTTTAAGTCTAAATCGTATTGAGCGACAGGACCCGAGGCTTTTGTTAGCCCGTGACGGGGGCAGTTACTGTTGCCCCTCAGTGGGGGAGCGCGCTATCATCTTTCGGTTATTTGGGAGGCAATACCGCGACCCCTCAACCTGTTTTCTTTAACAGTCGATTTTAGCTGCGTTTTTTGAGCAGTCTCGCATCTTTGCAGACCGGAGGATTTGGATTTTTTTAACAACCGCTTTGCGGCTCTTTGTGTGGCATCAGCTTCGTGTCCCTGTTGCAGCCAGCGTTCCCCGAAGTTCCGCACTCCAGAAACATGTGCTCCCGGGTGTGGTTCATCACTGACCGGCGGATCAGCCAGGAGTATCCGCAGATCCAGATCCTGCGGGCTCTGAAGGAGCGCTGCGTCGAGGATGATGTTGAATTCCGCTATCTACTGATGGATGAGATCGTCCTGACCATCACCGACGGCCAGCTCGGTAAAGAGAGCGCGCACACACATAAGCATACCATCTGCACTGAAATTGTTTTGTGTTTAAACTGTCGAGTTGGCTGAATATCTGGTCAGTGTGTACGGCTGGCGCGCATGATTGAGCGGATGTGCATCACCGTGCGAGTGTGTTTTGTGTAGATGTGCGTGTGGGTGACCGCCTAACCCAGTTTTCAGCCAGTCAGCTACCACAGGATGAGAGGCCGTTGAGAATATTTGAGAAATCGTTGTAATCTTTCATCAATGACTTGATATGCAAATGCTGGCGCGAATGTATCGATATTACCGTTTATTGTTGCACCATGTGCGCGCGAACAGTCACGAGTGTGCGGCGCGAGCGCGTTCATTATCAACACATAAAGCCTCGAGCGCAGATGGCGCGACGTTCACAAAGACCCGTTATATTCAGCCGGTACACTAGCGATTATTTAATGATTTTTATTTCATCTTTACGAGGTTTATATTTGATTTGGTCGAAATGAATGAAACAGGCGTTGTGACGCATTCGCTCGAGCTTCCACATACAAAGGGCTTTAATCGAGATCATCGATTCGTCACGTGTACACCTCACCATTAAAATGTTTAATCAGCCGGAAGATGTTTGCATCGTCTTTTAGACGATTATTTATGTATTAGCATAATGGGCTGGTAGCAACAGCAAGCACATATAGCCTGATGAACATGTGGTGTCTTGGATGCTTTAATGTACTCACACCTATGCTGAATCCTTTAAGTCATAAATATGATCTAGTTTAACCCGATTTAATAGCTACTTAATCATCTGAAACGACTATTCTAACCAAGTTGATTCAGGTTACCTTGATGCCAATAGAACATACAATGTGTACAGTATAAAACAATGGAAACCTATGTCCCCACAATTCACAAAAACAAACGTGTCTGTGTGGGGGAGAAACTAGAATATATATATATATATATATATATATATATATATATATATATATATATATATATATATATATATATATATATATATATATATATATATATATATATGTATATGTGTGTGTGTGTGTGTGTGTGTGTGTGTGTTACAGGGACAAAACACAAATAAATCCATCATTTAATGAACCTTTCTGTTTCAAACCTCATTTATGTTGCACAAAAGATGTTGGCCAGTTTGTTAGACCTGAATTTTGTTCACCTGAATTTTTTTCCCCATATTAAAGTGACCGTTTTTAGAAGTTATTTACAAACATGAGGCTGAATGATGGGGATATTCTCATCTCAACTATCCCTATGATAATATAAGCTCACCGCGAGTTACAAAGTGTTTCATAAGACAATGATCTGAGTCATTGACACCAGGGTTGCCATTGTGGGTGGGTGGGGCTGTTTTGCTTTGGCCCAACAGCATATTTTGAAGGGGGTGGCAGATGGGGACTGGGACGGTGCATTTTGCATGGGCCTGAGTTAAAGGGAGTGGCTATGCACCAATGCAGCTTTGCTTTGAATCAGCTACTTTAAGTTTAGTGGTGTGACTTTGCAACATGCATAACAACAACGAGACCTGAACAAACAAAAGTGTTGTTGACCGTATTGACCTACTTTAATGCAAAGGTAGACAGCTGTCTGGACTGCATGACCGCAGCACAAGTGGAGCAGGTTGTTGGCCTGTCATGTATGTTTGTGTGCGCGCATGTTTAATCTGCTGGCCTGGATCCTGTCTTGGTCCGATTAGGTGGTGGTTGACAGTTGGTCAGCTCTGGGATTTAAACCCCTGGAGATCCTGACATACTGCTGAGTTACATCATCAGCGTGAGACACATAGACTAGGTCAGCACATAATCGTGATCTTTTGTGTCAGTCAGACATTGCTGTTAAAGAGCAGGATTTGAAGATGGATTCTTCGAATGTGCTTGGGAATCTGTTGACATGCGGCAGAAGAGTGTATAGTTATCTTATCTCCTGCTGTGCGTGTTGCGCCACATGCGGCAATCAACCAATCAATAGGCAATCAGGATTCAGGACTTAGCAGCGTGATTTTTCACTTCATATGATGGTGTGAACCAAGTGTGTGCGTGTTAGTTCTTGATGTCAAGTGTCCATTCCTCTAAGAGATGCGAAATCTATCACTGGTTTACTGCATCTTAGCATGCTGAAAATACAATAGAAAAACATGCAGATAACGCACATGTGACTGTTTTGGACCCTAGTTGGTGATAAGTGAAACTTCACACCAGTATCATTTAATCAGCCACTTCCCAAGACCATTCATTTTATCAATTGAGAGGTGAAGTGTTTAAATGATATCTGCTGTCTACCAAGGCTTTGTTTACATCTAGCATTAAAGTGCATTTGGTCAATCAAATCATGGATTTAAGAGGGAGATACATTCTCTGTTGTTAA